CATGCACACCTCATGCTGTATACTGTACTTCTTTTCTACTCTTTAATAAAGCATATTAAAATACATTATAGTATAGTTATAGTATATACTATAATACCTTATAGTATAATACATCACAGTATAGTTTTAAAAAGAAGAAGAAACGTAAGTAACTTGTCAGTGTATATTAGAAAGCACATACTCATATGCAGTGGGATTTGTCATAAGTTAGCAGTAGAAATTACTACAGTACTCTTTCCTACCACCCAAAATAGAAAATAATATAAGTGGACTGAGTCACAAACCTGTTAAGCTGGAATATTTGGAGTTCATGCTGTTTGATACAAAACATCTGCTATTCACGTTCCCATTCTTAACTGGACTATAGATCATGTTGTGCAACATATTCCAGAGTTCCATGCTATATATAGGGCATGTTTAGTTTCATTTCTAAAATGTACCAAATATTTTCCAAATGTTCCATTCAGGAATGATATTTAATATTCTAACTTCCCCTTGCCCACAATTGCATTTCTTCAATGAACTGCTATGATTACAAGGTGAATGTTTCCTGGATTTGAATTTACAGCTGGATTGTTGGTAAAGCAAAAAATAACAACACACCTTTATTGTAAAGAAATAAGATTACTCTGTTTAATTTAGCATGCAACTCACCTTTTATGAAAGCTAACTCCATACCTTCCTGAAGTTTTCAATACACCTGGCTGCAATTTTAGGGTCAGATTTCAAATAACTCACTTGGACACAGGTTTATTTTAAATTAGTATGGTTCAATTCCAAAAAATATTACTTGCTTATTAGACAACATTGCTCTGAAAAAAACTGAAGAAATCATTAGTATTAACTATTTGGACTGTGATGAATTCACTGTTGTTACAATATGCTTCCTGAAGTAAAGAAAGCAATTGTTTGAGCATTGAATTTAGTGGGGCTAATATATAAATAAATATAGTATTACTTGTGAATGCATAGGGCTTTACTGCAGGTTAGATAAAAAGATCTAACTATAATGGGCCACATACCTTGTACTGAATATGATTTCCTGCTTGTGGCATTGTCTACGATTAGAGCTTCCTGGTATTGGGAAGTATTACTATTGACCCACTTGCTGTCATTAAGGAATTGCTATGGGCTGAATAAAGAAAGGGCACCATCAGTTACAGTATATGGTCATCCTTACTGATTAAAACAAAACATAGCTCTGAATTGCTATGGTCACTGAGAGCAGTCACCCTTAAGTGTCCCATTGTACAAGTAAAACCTGTTCAACTTCCCTCATAAGTTAATATCCCAGTTTTTATTGAGTGAGAAGCATACATAAATTGATCATAGCAACTGGAAAGTCATCATTATTATTTTTTTGATATCCATAAAAATTATGCTGAAAGCATAAAGTCAGTCAAACAAAATGTCACCATGTTTCAGATGCCATACTTGGGAAACATTGTGTAAAAGGATTTAAAAACACATTGAAAAAGGAAGCAAGCACAGAGTTAAAATTAGATACTAAATACTAAAAGCTTGTTAGAATGAGAATGTTTTCAATTGCCACTGAAAGGGGGGCAGCCTAGCCTTTTGGGGGAGGGCATGCCATAAGCTGGGGGAACTACTGCAAATACCTATTCTTTTTTTTTTAATAGGCATACATTACATTACACAATTCAAACTTTAAAAAATTGAAAAGCAATAAGTAAAAGACAGGAAAAAACTTAGTAAGATACAATTTTATGCACAAGACTTCAAAATTATAACACTGTGCTCCCCCACTGCACTGGGACCATTGGATTCCTGTCAAACATGCCTGTAAAGATGATGGGCTTCCACAGGATCTTAAGACTTGAGGAGAGCTAAAGGGGAGGATACAGTCCTTCAGATGGCCCATCCCCAAGCTGTACCTCACATTATAGGTTGTAACCAGAGTTTTTGTTTGGGCCTGGCAGCCAATGAACGTTGTAGTAAGGGAGTTATATGGTCCCTGTAACCAGTGCCAGTCAGCAGTCTGAACTGAGCTGAAGTTTTTGAACACTCTTCAAAGGCAGCCCCATGTAGAGTGTGTTACAGTAATCCAAATGGGATGTAATAAAGGCACGTGTCACTGCTGCAAACTAGATGTTTCAAGGAATGGTGCATTAGCTTTAACTGGGCAAAAGCACTCCTGCCCACCACTAAGACTGGACTCCCAGGCTCAACAATGAGCCAAGCAAGAAATATTGATTGCAGCTATAGGTTTGTAGTGTGGTGTGGGAGAAGACCCAACTGCTCACCCTTTGTTTGCCAACTATAACATGGGAATAAAAGGTTCCTCCCTAATGCTGGGTTTAGAAAAGGTGCTAGTCCGGATTTCACTTCTCCTATGAAATGAGTTGATGGTCCTAAGCAAGCTGTTATCTCTCACCTTCAGTCTGATCCCATCTTTTCATCTGCAAACTGGAGACCATCATAGTAACCTGCACTATGTGGTAGTGGGTGGGGTGATAGTGGTGGCATAAGGAATACATGGCAAAAATGCATGCACTCCTTAAATCACAAAATACAGAATGTCGTGATTATTGAATTATTTGTGAGGTACTGTACAAACTAAAAGTTCGATAAAGTGATGTACATGATCTTGTTGAATTTTATTGGACTTCTGTGAAATATTTTGGAGTAAAGAGATTTGGGTTGCAATCCTACATGCCATCAGTGAATTCAGTGGTACTTACTTCTCAGTGGACTTAGGATATAGGGTTGTCCTGATGGAATCTCATGCCATAAGTATTTTTAAAACCCATGTATTAAAACCTGTATATGTGTATCCTACAGTATAGCATAGCTATATTGAATAAGTTATTTCCTTCATTGTCTTAATGGTAAAATGTGGTGCATTCTAGTTAGGCTCTGGAAAAAGTACTTTAGTTCATAAATCCCAACAATCTGTTAAAAACAAAAATGCAAAAATATAGACATTACAGCACATGAAACTATCACAAACGAACAGAGTTAAAAAAAAAAACAGTGGAGAGCCTCCTCATTTACCCACACTTGAAGGCATTCTATTCAACTATTATTGGTTTTTTTAAAAAAGGAAATGGTGTATAATTTTAAGATCAGCAGCAGTCATAATGACAAATCCCTTCACAATTACAATTTTGACTAATGGAACAATGGACACCCCCCACATGTACTGTATCAGGTAATTATGAACTGCCAAAGAATAATGAAGCGTGATCTAGGAAGATTCAATGTAACGCTCTTTACTTGTGTGTCCTAATTCATAACACTCCTTTCCTAAGCACATCATCCTGTCTCACCGTTCATTCATCTGCACGCGGATGAAAAAGGGTACAAAAGCAAGGCAAGTCTTTCCGTGGCACAGTAGACAGTCTCCCAGAGAAAGAGAGAGAGGTTTTAGCTAGATCCATACACAATCAAATACGCTAGGGGGAAGATGGACGGAAGGGGAATGGAGGGGTTACGTGGCAGCTCGTACCGTTTTGCACCCTCTTTCCAAGCGACCAAGTATAGTATGGTCCACCAGTTCTGCCTTTCTTTAACATAAAAAACGACTGAGGAGAAGTTGTGTCGGGTTGGTTGTCTCGGGCCATCAGAGATGCGAAGTGGAGAAAACAAGGGGGTGCTTTGGAAGGTGTTACTTCTTCATCCCGCGCGAGTAATACTTTTGATAGATGGAGGCAGAAGTGTGGAAGCAACAGAACGAGGATACACGCGCCCACACACGAGTTCAATCGGAAGTGAGACCTCGCTGTGGGGCTCCAGCCTGAAAGATCTTTCCTCTAATTCCAGATACGTGCTGGGATCTGCTTGTGCTTAGCAGTCTTTGGGCAGCAAAAGCACTCTGCATATGTCCAGGAGCTCTCTAGAATGCTCTACTAAACACGACGGGTGTTGGCACAGAGACGTCGAGGTTTCCCTGGCAAGGGAGACAAAGCCTTAATGGTTCCCATCAAGCGAATCCGTTTCCTAAGGACTAGTTGTGTGAGGCTGGAGAAGGAGCGGTTTCCAACAGAGGCACGCGTTAAGATTTCCCGCCGCCAAAAAAAGGGTTGGGGGGGGGGGAACAGATCCTGTGCCCCCCTTCCCCCCCCCCCAGTCCCTGCTTCTCTGAACGCGGACGCTGCTTCAGTGGCTCGGCTCCCTCGGAACAGCCGCCCACCCGCGCAAACGTCAAACTCCGCCTCAGCTGGAGTGCTTTCAGGGCGACTGAATCTGCGTTTCCCTTGAAAGCAGCGTGGGCAGGCGGGCGGGCAGGCTGCCTCTCTTTGCGTTTCTATTTTATTTTATTTCGTCTTATTTTTCTTTCCGCCTAAAGGTGGAATCGTGCTGCGGAGGGAGAGGCTGAGGCGGGCGGGCGGGCAAACCAGTCGCTCCGCCAGTCTCTCGCGCGCAGCATCCTCTGTCCATTCCGGAGAGCGCGCGGTCTCTGTCTCTCACATACAGTCCCCCTCAGACACACCATTGCTTCTCTGCCCCCCACAAACAAACAGCAGTCTGGCTCCTTCCACCCATTGGCTCCCCCTCAAGACGAAGGCAACCCGGGCTTCCAATTATGTCCGCCGCCCCCCCCGTCCCGCTCTTTCTCTCTCACAACACGCGCGTTTTGAGGCCAGCCATGCGATGCCACGCACGCGTGCGCGCGGGCATTTGTAAGAAGGGATTTCTGCTGCTTCTTTCCCTCCTTCTTCGTCTTTTTTTTTCTTTTTTAAGGTCCCTGTCACTTTGTTTTGTAACGTGTTTGGCGGTAGGTGTGTTGTGCGAGTGTGTATATCTCTCTCTCTGTGTGTGTGTGTTTGTGCATACGTGTGTGACAGAGTAAGACTGGCCCGGCAAGCGGGGGTGAGGAGGAGCGAGACTGAATGCATTGGTGCGTTCGCCGCCATGGACGACCGTCCCCGCGGGGGAGGATCATGACAACTGAAGCATAAGTACCCCCCCCACACACACGCACACGCACACACACACGCCTCTCCCGGTTCCCCGCTTTGAATCTGAGCTAAGCAGCAGGAGGAGGAGGAGGAGGAGACGAGGCGGAGGATTTGGTGACAGTGGAAGCCCCGCCCGCTGCCTGGGCAGGGGGGCTGTCCTGCGGCCCCCCCACCTTCGAAGGAGCTGGACTGGCTTTCTTTCTCTCCCCCTACCCAATCCTCTCCTTCTCCCCCTCACACGTACACGCAAGCACACACACACCCCCTCGCTCACACACGCACGCACGCAGAGCGAGTCTCCGGCGCTCGCTCAGGCAGACAGACAGGGAGACAGAAGATGGCTGACTCGCCCGGGCAACCCACAGTCCAGCCCGCCCGCATCCCCGACCCTCCCAGCGCCGCTTTCTCCTCTGACACTCGCTGACGCCTTCGTCCAGCGCGGAAAGCGGCCACCCCCCCTTTCCTCCCTTTCCACGACCTCTCCCCCTCCCCAAACCTTTCCCCAAATAATACCAGCAGCCATTTCATCTCCAAGAAGGAGGTATATCCCCGCACACAACGCACACATACATCCACACAAAAATGGCAGAAATGGAGAAAGAAGGGAGACCTCCCGAAAATAAAAGAAGCAGAAAACCGGCTCACCCCGTGAAAAGGGAAATCAATGAGGAGATGAAGGTATGTGTGCGCTCTCTTGTGTCTGATGCGGAAAGGAAAAAGGGAGAGAGATTGGGGGGGGGGGAGAGAAGTAGAGGAGGAGGGAGGCTCTGTGCAAATACCCCCCTCGCACCTCGGCTCCCCCCCTCCCGCTCCGCGTGTTTGGATGTGTAATAAAGAAAGGATCTCTCGGTTTGTTTGGCTGGAAGGAACAAACAAATAGGGTGGATGAAGTGCTGCCTCAACTCCTCTTCCTGAACTACAAAAAGAGATCCGTTCGCAGGCTATAAAGCCAGGTCACTGAGCAGCTTTGATATTAGTAATTTATTATTACGATCATCATCATTATAATCACCACCATCACTGCTCTTATTGCCTCTTTCTGCCCCTCCGTAGCGATTTCAGCGAGGATCCCCTTGCTTTCTTCCAAATTTATGCAGATCTCTCAGAAACTGCTAAAGTTAGAAAAGAAGGGAACTCGTTTAAGCTACGTCTCTCTCTTCCTCTCCCCCCCCGCCCCTTCCAGTAGCCAGCTGCAACTGTGTAATTAAATTGTCAAAGTGAAATGTTATGGTCTGAACTGCACATCATTCTTGTACTTAGACACAGGATCTCTTGTCTTTCCCGTCTCTTTCCTACTTCCTCCGCCTCTGTTTTCCATGCTTCACTTCATTGTTAATCAAACCAGTAGAGTGTTGTGTTGAAAGAGAAGTGTCCTAGAGGGGTGCCTGCGATGTGTGTGTGTGTGTGTGTGTGTGTATGTGTGTGTGAGAGAGTGAGTGATATAATAGGTGTTTGTCTGGAGGGATTGGGGGTCAAGGAGAGAAAGCCAGTGTCCTGACAGGAAAGGATGCCAGTCCAGCTGTGTTCCAGAGGTAATGCCATGGTCTGGCTTTCCAGATGTGGAGCAGTCATTGCACAAAAACATGTCTAAGGGCTTTTTTAAAATTTATCCTTAGGCTTAAGTCTTAGGCTGAGTTGAAGTGGGCGTCTGTTGCATTATTTACTCATTTGTTAAGAGAGACTTTTGACTATATTTATTCTTAGGCTCCCCATTTGTTGTCCCTTTGTGGTTTACACATGTTGCAGGGCTGGGGTGAACTTGCTTTGCCCCAAAATAAGAAAGGCAGTACAGTTTGGGATATGGACCGAAATGATATTCAGTGTGATGGATCATTTACAATGAGTCTCATCATAGCATAGGTACAGTACATGCTAAATATCCTAGCAGTGCATTCAGTGGTAAAACAAAATATGCCTACTGTGGAATCTGTGCTTATCAATATAAAGATAATTAATGCATTTGAATCAACATTTTATTCATTGTTCTTACCAAATTAAATTAAAGGAGGATATTCTATTTCCCTTTTTGCTTTTAAATATAACCCACAAGAAAAGCATTCACCATTTACCATGTTTGGATTCCGTCTTTCTGTTCTTACTGGGGGTTTATCCAGCAGCAGACAGATGGACATTCAAACAAAGGTGGTGGTATGTATAAAGAGCAAAGTGCGTAGCATATCAATAACATTTATTCGGTGTTTGGGTGCTCTCAGGCAGATCCCTTTAGGTTTTGATTTTGGGAAGGGGGGAGGCTGCAGAAGAAGCGGGCCAAGGGCCATAGAAATGTGTTCCACTGTGCATTGTCCCTTTAAGACATTTCTTCATATGATCTATGTGGACTGCAGTTTTTAAGTTTCATAGGTTCTAGGATTACAAATTAGCTAATTTTAATCAAAACATGTGAAATGTTATCCTGGCTGGATATAAAGGCTGACTGTGCTGGATCCTCTGGGTTTGTTTTGTTTACTTTGGCTACAGGCACTCTTGGTGGTTTGGGAGATAGTTGTTCTTCTGCAGTATAACAGATGTTTGTCTGAAATGGTGAGGAAGAAACAAAAACAACACTGTGTGTAAAAGGATGCACATTTTATACACACACATATACACACGTTCATGGTATTAACAGCATTAGTATTAATCTTACTGCAGAAAAGTTGTCAATTTTCTTAAATTTCTATATTGCTTCAACAGTATAAAGATAAATAATTACATGGGAATTACAGCTATATGAATAATTTAATTCAAGGTTATGGACTGATGTCATTTTGGAGACCATTTTTGTAGTCTGGGTGACTGAAAGATTAACAGCAGCAGGAGCTTTCAGGCAACACAGACCACATGCCAGAACAAGGTATCCTATTAAGCCTGGTGTCCCCATTCTTTTTTTAGGATAGATAAATTATTATAAGTGAATTTTCTAAGTATGTTTACACCTATAATTTCATCTGGGTGCATTGGAAACATGGAACGTTTGCTTGCCTTTCTAAGAACAATTCTTTGTTTGCGGAAAGAAAATATATAAACTGGATGGACTTCCACTTCTTCATGGAGTGAAAGAGTACAGTAACACAGCTAGTTAGTCACTTTGTATAAAATGTATGCAACAAAATGTCATAGTGAACACAATGTGCCCTTGTGTAGGTACATATCTGTATCGTTCAAACAGCTTGACTGCTTCCCTTCATCTGAACTGCTTTCATCTGGACCTGTGTAAAATAAGCTCTGGTAAGTAATCACGACAGAGCAGAAAGAAAGGAATGTATACAGCAATAGACAGCCTAAGCTGTAAAAACTGTAACCTGAGTCCCAGCAGCAGATCAGATATCAAGGCTGTAAGGTAGAGGGAAATGAAAGAGATGAAGGGGAGGGAAAGAGGAGAGAGAGAGGGAGGGCTGAGGAATGGAAAAGTCAGCTTGGAAAGTGAAGGTCTAGTAGGAGGGCCCCCTCAGGGAAATTTGGCTCAGGGATTAGGGAATTTTATCATGGTGTACAGTGACCTACTCAGGTTTCAGACCATGTTGGATTGAATTGCTTCCATTTGCTAGGAGTAAGAAAAAGGGCCAGCGTGTATGCGATTCCCTCTCCCCACCCCTCTTTCCAGTAATAAAAAGCCACTGGGTACAAGTGCCTATTTTAAGTACAGCAAATATAAGGCACTATGAATGAGTAATAAAATTACCTCATCACACAGATTTTCTTGAAGATTTTCTGTTTGATAGAACACATATTTGCCCAATAATGATGGAGAGAAACTTAACCACTAGTTTTTCTTCTGGCACATCAGCAATATCACTTGCTGCATCATTTTAACATGACTGGAAAGTGATATTGTTTGCTGTTTCATTGTAGCAGATATTTGGTTACATTTTTGTTATCTCTTGTCTAATATACATGATGGTTGTCACAAAACTCAGCTTGATATATTACCGTGTCTAAGAAGGATAAGACTACGGAATGAGCCCACATGGAATTTTGTGAAAATTCACTGAAATTTTCTGGCATAAATGTTTTGTTCCATAGTGACCACTATTTTTGTTTTCCTAATTCCTCCTTTCCTTTCTCCCATGGATAAAGGAGGTTCTTAGAACTGACCAGTATTGCAGTGAGATGAATATTACACATGGTTTAGTATATTTCAGGTCAATAATATCAAATAGTGCTTATGTTCTACACTGAAAGAATATTCACTAGCAGGAAAACCTAGTACATTTTGAAAACAAATCCAGTTTTATAGTTTAACTTGATTCATTCAGCTGGACAAATGAAACATTTATGCCAAATATTTGATCTAATAATAGACATTCTACATCTACATCCTATTTATTCATCACAAACAAGTCCTAATAATGTCAGTAGAGTTGTTCCATAATAAATGGATTGTGGTCTAAACAAGTCTAATGCCACATAATAGTATAACTGTTCAGAATACAGGAAAAGTGCTTAGAAACAGACATAATTAAGGTATATTTGAATCAATTCATATAATTATACTTTGCAGACTACACTGGAAATTTTGTTAAATAAACTAGACTGATTTAATGTACTTCTTTATTTGCCAATTGACATGTTTTATAATGTGGGTCCTGATGGCAATTTTAATTGTATTTTAATTGTATTTTAATCATTTTATCTTTTATTGTATCTTAATTGAATTTTAATTGTTGTAAGCCGCCCAGAGACCTCTGGGTAGAGTGGGTGGCATATAAAATAAATAAATAAATAAATAATTTCATAAAGCTTTCTCCACAATATTTGCCTTCTAAATTCTTAATTAAGTTATTGATAACTAAAATGAGCTTCATTGCAGATGCATCTGTCAGAATTCATTGGTAAATTCATGGACATCTTTATACATTTTTAAAAAGTCATACTTCGGGTTTTTTTAAAAAAACATAATCACAATGGATAAATTAGAAACAGTGGATAAGATACAGGTTTAATCATACAGTACACATACTAAAATAAAGAAGGATTAAGCAAGTCAAAAGTATGAGTTGTCATATGATGATAAATATATTGTCTATACAGGCTCTTTTGGAGTGGGCTAGTGAGGACTAAATAGGGTCATCTGGAGTTGGGTAGAGGTCTGTTGTGCATTTGGTGTGATCATCAAGCAAACCTATTTGGTCTGGTTCCTTCAGATGTCTATTTACTGTATCATTAAGAAGTTTAAGAAGAGATGCCGTCCAGGACATTGGCAAATGAAACACTTCCTCTGCTTCTCCATGGAGGGCCAGAGGAAGTATTAGGCCAGGTTCTCAGCAGTTGATTTGACTGCTGGCAGCTACCTGATGAAGCTTTTTACTCAAGTCATCTCAGCAGTTGATTTGACTGCTGGCAGCTGCCTGATGAAGCTTTTTACACAAGTCAAAGAGAAGGTGTGTGTATGTGTAAATAATATTTTAAATTGCTCCTTCTTGTTCCATTCTGTGACTTCTTGCTTCCAGAAGGAAGTTTTAAATTTATTTGTTTTTTTAAATAAGTGATATAACACATATGAGCTGCCCTACGAGAGTCTAAAAATTTACTTCCTCTGCCCCTTCCTTTGGAGGAGCAGAGGAAATATTTATTTAACAATATTTAGAAGTGGCTGTCTTCTTAAACCTCTTCCCAATGTGGCAAACTGACAGCTGAAGCAGCCTTGTCAGTGTTCACATAGCTGAAGTCTTGCTTTGGTT